ATGGCTTACCGGTCGTTTAATTCAAGATTTTCTGCTCTCTATTTACAGTTTTAAAAAAACGAAAACAATTATTTGCTTTGAGATGGATTTTAACAACAATAAGGCTCTGAATCGCACACGTAGGCCACTCTTATGAATTATTTAAACGACTAGATTTGGGACTACAGCTCATTCTTCATGTACCAGTGATAATAAAATCTAATAAGATTCTCTCAGTTTAACTCAAAACTATTCGAAGCGATACTTTGAACCAATATTTCGAAAAAGCTGTACATAAAATGATTTAAAGTTCTAATGTTGAGCAATATAGTGCGTTATGATAGAAATGTTTTGCTTTAATATTAAAGACGGAAGCACAATTACAAAATTCGAGGAAGTAAAAGATAAATTTCAGAAATGTGAATTTTAGGAAATGCGCCTATGTCATATTTAAGTGCACATTGCTCTTATAAAGAAATGAGAAAATGTTGATTAAATCTAACGCCATAACTCAAAATTACTCCAAAACATTTAGACATGTTTTGAAAAAATTATTCACATAATTTAAAGATATAATTGTGAAGAAAAGACATCATTAAGAAAAATCTATCTTCAATAATGTAGTTGTAGGAGGGCGGTGTCAAAAACTGAGTTTTGCAATTTTGAACAAGAACAAATAAAACGAAAAATTCGAATCCGCTTTTGAAAAAAAAATGAAGATATTCCACCTGCATCTTAAAAATAATGGAAAAATTAAAATAACTGTTTTTCAATTCGCGGGCACGAGTATTGATTGTGGTCAGAGCGGTTGTAGGACATCCACTTTGGATAAAATCCAGTGTACATTTGAAGCCCTCTTGTTGTTCACAAACAGACAGATGAACAGATGATTTTTAAAGAGACACAGGTATGGTCGTTTCGATATCAGTAGATATCGAAATTTTGTAGGAAATACTTATTTTGTATAAAAGCATATTTCCAACAAAATCTCATCATCGATTTTTGCAGAACTACTTCCTGCGCACAAACTATATTCTAGTACACGAGACAGTATTTTCTACTTGCATTTAACGCGCGAATCTGGGTCTATCCTATTTAACACCGTAAAGTGTCTGCTTATTTTCTCAAAACAAATGGTTCAGGGGGAGTATCCGTTGTCAGTCTGGAGCGTAATCTGTTCATTGTTCGATTAAAATAAGAAGTGGTGTTCTCCATCAAATGCTACGCGAGAAACGTGAAAAAACAAACACTCACAGATGGCAGGTAGGGAAGCTGGAAAGCACGAGAACGTTCAGGCACTATTCTCAAGAATTGATTGCAATTTTAGTTTGATTATTATTCTTGTAATTTTTACAAATGTCGTTATTTATTATTGTTGTTTTAGCGTTACTGTACAGTTCACAACTCTACGGACATAAAACAAAATAGCAATAATATTGTTTCACCGATTCCTTTGAGACAATTAAAACAAATAAATTCGATTAACGAGTAATAATAAGTTTAACTCATACGAATATAAAACTGACTGTTTTGAATTCTATATTAAAATTCTTAAATATTTTCAATCAATTGTTTTCCTCAAGGCGCGTACCGTAATAGAATGCCAGGGAGGAGAGAGAGAGAGAGAGTACTTGTTTTGAAAAGTGATCAAAATGTAAGGTAAGCTAAACATAGGCACACTGAGAGGGTCAGGGCCGTCCACCTCTCTGAATATTTCAAAAGGGTATCTGTAACCCTACGTAAAAACATTTTGTGTCTGTAAATATAATCAATTACTTATTTCGCTCCTTTTTAGGCTAACAATTTGGGGATTTGATAGACGACTATCGGGGAAGAGGTTTCCCCAACAATCTGGAAACTCTACAAATAGTTCAACATGAAATCAATTTTACTTAATAATAGCATGATTTAATTTTTAAATTAATTCTACTTGTTTATTCTATTTACTTTCTAATAAAATATGTCATATGTAATTAAAAACGTTTGATGGAGACCAGAAATGTATATGCCCCCTCCCTTTCTCGTATTTTAGCCTGCGCACACCGATTAACCGTTAAAACTAACTTCTAAGCATAACATTAAACTAAACCTCTTTCATTTTTGAAGCCGATTAAACATCGTGCACTTAGAATGATCACTTTCCTGTATTGAAAAGTCTAGGCGTAAATGGGGCAGCTGCCCTCACTCCACAGCCAATATTTCGAGCTTTATTGAATTTCCAGTATCATTAATTTTCAGGATCTTAATTTCCTTTTCATGGCTCAAAATAAAAATCTAACATTTTTAAAACTTTTGAATTACAAACAATTTATAAATGTGTTGGGTAGTATGAGACCTGAGAATAATTTGAGAAAGGTTCCTTTTCCAGTGATTCCAGTGAATTATTTTAATTATTTTTTTAATTAGTATACCATCTCAGACTCGACGTCGTGTCGTGGGAGCGGACGCAATGACCAGGAATGCTACATTTTGTGCCTCGATATTCGAGTATTCATTATGCTGCGCTCAGGGGTTAAAACACTTTATTAACATTAACAGTAATAATAAAAATATTAATAATAAATTTGTCTCCCTCCACCAAACTTACCCCTTGGCTTTCGCCCGTTTTGAGAAAGTACATATGAGATCAATATGAAGAGTACCCCCCCCCCAAATGCATTTCTTTCAAAAAGAAAATGTGAGATAATATTTACCACAACTTGTTTCCCACGCATTTAAAAACGCTTACTTTGAATCAATAACACACTTTCTTGGACAGCAACTAGTAAAAGTGATTATTTTTGTGGCATACAGTGCGTCCTAAAAGTGAGACGATGCTCAAATGTTCAGACACAACATTATGACTGCAACAATAAAAACAAAACATTCATCTAACCGCTTCTTCTTTTATCTAGCTACTTCTGACTACGTAATATAGTACATGTAGTGATTTGAATACCACTTAAATTAAAATAAAATGTAAGTCAATAAGGCTGTTTAACAAATGGTAACACACGTGATAAAAAGTGTTTTCATTTTACTTTTAAGTTGCGCCACTGGGCCTGGCAGGCTTGTTTCGCAACCTTTCCTCGTCACAAAATAAAATACCACTTTTACCCTTCATATCATAAATAAATAACTTTATTAAACTACTGATGAAAACAATATTGAAGTTCTTTTGGATGATAGCTTGGATTTATATCAAATAGATCGGTTATTGCATTTTTCATAACTGAATTTATTAGAATAATATTTTCACACTTCTAATTATATACCTATTGTTCACGAAATATGAATTCCAACATGGCGTCGTTCCTTTGAACATACGCTGTTGTTCAGAAAACAAACAATAAAAACTATAATATTGTTTGTATAATGATTTCATTGAAAATAAGTGAATGGCCTTCAATGTTTCTAAATAAAAATTGACAGTATATAGTGAACAAGATTATTGAGAATGCTCATGAAAATACTGATGATATGACAAAATAAACAATGACTATTTTAGACTCGCTTCCCTTATGTTAAGCATCGCTTTCAACATGAAAATATAAAACGAAGCATATCACTTTCGCAAGGAACACAAAGATTTGTTGATACTGAGAGGAGCAAATCAAGAAACATGACCTGCTAAACGTCTGAATTCCTAAAATACACCATGTGAAGGAAGGAAGACATTTTGACAAGATGGATGCCTGTTCCCCACCTTTCTCACGTCTAGATTCGTGAACCGAAGCCAAATGTGCAGCAATGATTTGCATAAAACATCTAAGACAAAATGCCAAGGCTCCACAGTGTTTGTTAAACATATTTTATGCGTTGAATCATATAGTTTAAGTCCTAATACAGAAGCATGTAAACAATGATTTATACCAAGAATGTGCTGACATGAGGTTATCGAAAATGTTAACATGGAGTTTACTGCGTTCGAAGAACTTTTCAGTTTCAGAACATGAGTTCAGAAAAAACGTGTTAATAAAATATTGCTTAATTTTTGCAGTTTGGGGAAACAATTTGAAATATTAGAATGAATTAACAAAACAAAAGTTCAACAAATGAAGACAGTTCACAAAGGAATACCAAAAACAAATGTTAATTCGTTCTCAACACAAACTGAAAATAATAGTTGACAAACCTATGTTTTCAGAACGTTCTTGCAGTGATCATTGACCGCCACGAAACGAACTAGTATCGCCTACACGCTCTTCTTTCCTGGCACAGACTTCGCGCAAAAAAAACGTGAACGCACGTAAAAATTTCTTGGCTAAAACACAATGTTTGACAACGACGAACGCACTAGGTGCCCGCACAGGACGCCCCGCCGAGCCTCGTGCCAGCCGTCAGGATATAGCCAACGCTTGCGAACCGCGTACCGGTTCCAGAATAGACGCCAAGAATAGCATACCACACGGCATCGGAAGAGCTTTAAGGGGATAGACCTGGATGAATTTGCTTGCCCTAAGAGAAAATTTTCTTCAAGACGGATGACGAGGTGAATCGCAAGATATACTATTTATATTTGAAGTGAATGGCCTTTCAAGATTCAAAATCCTTTGTTTCGCATTCATTTGCCATTTTCAGATAAGAAGTTGAGATAATCTCTCTTTAGAAATGCTATCAAATTTATTAGTTTTATAAATTTAATATTAAATACGTTGTTTGATAAAAGTAAACAATTTCGATTTCATTATGAACGTATTTTTTAAATAACGAAAAAAAATTGAACTTCCAATAATTATATTTAATCCTACAATAATTTATTTTGTCACAATGAAAATAATCTTAGTAACACTATTCAATGCACTTCCGGAGCACAATATTAGTCATTATAGTGTATCAGTATTAGTGATGAATGTGACGATTAGTATTTTTGGTTATGACACCACGGTCATGACAATGAAGGAATTCGAGGTAAAATGGCCGTTCCTTTGACCTTCTGTCGCGACCATACTGGACCGCACTCTATACGCTATGAGAAGCGGCTGTACGGAGGTGGCATCTGGCGGAGGCAGCGAGAATCACTGAACCGCCCGTTCTTTATGTACGACTGCAAGCGCGTGGCCCCACCAGTCGCAGCTGCTGTGCGCCAGTGAGTGCAAGTAGTTTGCGAAGCTCTCGTTTTTTTGAGGGAACACTGTCATTCACTCAAGAAATATTATTTCTCTTGTGTTGTCAAATACGTGTTCGTACTGGGAAAACTGTTGTGTGCAGAGGAGCTTGATTCAACTGCCATTCACCGCAGAAGTAACGAAGTTCGTCGCTGTTGAGACATAACCCTACGCACACTCCGTCTAGAGATCGTTGACAGCGTCCAGCAGGATTGAAAATGTGTTCGGTAATAGGCGCAGATATGGACTTCACGCTCTGTCAACAGAACGTATCAACTGAGCATAGCTCATGGCTGGATTATAAACCTACTGTCGAAGAGTACCTGCCAGCCGACCTGTTTACGTCTGTATATTCAATGCTGCCAATATTTGAATATCATCCTTGGGTTTTCTCATTGATTGGATCAACTTTAATAGGACTTAGTGGCGTGTTTCCCCTTCTAGTCATTCCAATTCAAGAAGAAGAAAATTTTGATATAAACGGTAAGTGGTTTGCATACCTAATGTCAGTATTTAAGTTATATCTTAGTTGTTTTATTTAGTGTCATTTATATTAAATGAGAAATTATTGCCCTGGTATTCGAAACACTGCTTTAATTGTCCTCAATTTTAATTAAATGTCATCAATCATTTGTTTCATCCTGTAATAATAAACATGCACGATTATATTGTAAATTGTCACGATTCGTTTGTTGTAGATGCTCTAAACGGATTTTTATACGGTTTTAGAGTATAAATTATGAAGTATTCCATCTTCGTATTTCTAATTGTATGAAACAGTTTCAACCATTGTAAAACGGACTTGCTAGATTTCCAGGACCGGCGTTTTCTGCAGCATCCCGATAATAAAGGTTATCTATTACTTCTGCAAGCATGTTTACCAGTTGAAAAGGTTATCAGCAGGGCCGCACTATTCTTGCTGCCTATGTGCATTGGTAGAGAAGATCCTTCTGCGCAACAGAGCCAACAGTTTTCTTTCTTATCGGGGAAAAAGTCTGGTATGTTATTGCCAACATTCCGGGATAAATGACCACGAGGTTGTTCAGGAAGCAGGAGAATTCTTAGAATATGATATCGTAATAAGACTTATTATATAAAACTTTTAATTAAATATGTTGTGCTTTTGTAAGAACGAGTTCAACATTTTTGGATTTATCAACTAAATACGTTAACGTTCACTTTACATCAACAGTTCGGGCTGTCGTGGGCAACACATGATGTCGGGTGTTTACAGCGTACGTTAAGTGACCGCGGGATCTTATTATAGCGTTAGGTACGCAGCACGTGCTGCTCTTGGAAACCCGACGGCGAAGAAAGCTGCGCAGTTGGAGCACAAAGATGCCTCCAATCTTCCAAGGCCGCCATATTGGCATTCGGGACGACTTCTTCGCCCGACGGCATTCTTATGCAGAATGCGGGCTGCGTTTCTTGTTCAAAGGTTCGACTGTTGAAGTCGAGATGGGAGACCCAATTGTCACATCCCTAAACGATCGTCAGATTTGTGTGCGTATTGTGAATCTCTGTGCATTCGCAGTATCGCAATTGGCAACTGATGAAGAGCCGCGGACTAATCGTAATAAACCCCGGGAATATTTTGTTGCCCGTTTAAGATTGTATATTTGCAGTTGCATTGTTTATTTATGTCTCTGACGTTTTTGTTTGTCGGGACCGAAGTACGTTAGTGACAAAGAAGCACGGTCCTCCTCCCTGGTCGACGGAGCTCTCTAATGCTAGAAATTCGGGCACAAGAGTACAGAAAGGAATAATATTGTGATCGCAGATTTTCCAAAGGGTATATTTTCATATTTTCTTCCTTATTTTACTTTTGTCTGGTTTTATGGTTTTTCGTCGTTTGGCGTTCAATATTGGGTTCAACAATACTAAGTAATACGGAATCTGCCCGAGAGCTGTCAAACTTCCGAAAAAAAAGACAGGAGCCCACCAGGGGGTCACTTGTATTCAAATAGAATGAAATAAATGAATATACGAGATATAACTCCTCTTAGATTAAGTGAAAAAGACACACTAATTCCGAGCAAATGACAATGCTGAATTTGAATTATTGTAGTCGTAAAGGAATATAAGGGCTAGTTCCTCCCAGCGGGTTGGCAAGTCTCGTGGCCTTGAACATGTCTCAGCATGCGCCCCGTTATTTGCGTCAGTCGTGACGCAGTGGCTAACAAAGAAGCCATGCCGTTGAGTCGTGATCCAGTTTAGGTGGACCACGAACAACGGATGCACTCGCGAACGATCTCGCTTCACACAAGGCCCAGCCATGTAATTTAGTCTGGGATTCGCAGTGGAAATTGCATTAGGGTGTCGCGTCTGCGGAAGTAATGGAGAGACTCGGCAGCCGCAGCTGGGGCCCAGCTAGCATCCGCGGTCACAAAGGCGACCGGATTGCGTCAGACAGACAGACCGACCGGCACCCGCGCGAGGGCGGGAGCGTGGGCGGGAACTGCCGCCCCTCGGGGGGGGGGGTGACGAGGGCGGACGAAGGCGATCTGCGCTCGAAGCTCGGCTGCGACGCGGGTCGGCCGTCGGCGGACCCCAGCCTACCCTACCCTACCCTACCCTACCCTGCCCTACGTGTACGTGGCAGAGCCTTCCTCGGGACTCGGTCGGGCGCGGGGGCCACAAGGGATGCAGCAGAGATTCAAAATGGCGACAACCACAGTTACCATCATTCCGGGCCGATATCGCCGATATTTCATTAATGCTTAATTTTTTTGCAAGTTTATATAATTAAATCAAATTTTCACTAATCACACTTCTGTCCAGTTCTGAATAAAAATAACTACATACAACGACTGTGAAAGTCGTGCAATTGATTTAGTGGAGGTGTCTGTTATGTACGTTGTAAGAAAATTATATTTTTCTTCTACTTAATCTTCTATTCTGGAAGACAATTTCCTTTGTGGTTCATTCACTTACTAAGCCGTTACTCGAGTGTGACGTACATATTTGAGTGGTTGGATGGTTGCGCGAAACGAACAATGAGATATGCAGTGGAAGATAAAGAGTTTTCGTGGTTTTGCAGGGTTTTTTTTTGGCCCAGGCTCGAGAGGAGGAGAATTGATTGATTCCCACGGGAATGAGAGGAAATTAGATCAAGAAATATAACGCAAACAATTACATCAAAAGCAATCCTAAAAAGCCAATTCTTCTAATAAATTTGAAATTTAAAAATTCTCTGACCTCTAAACACTAAAATTTAAACTTGTGTTGAAATATATTCTTTTACATTTATTTTTTTTTATTTTTTCTTCATGGTATTGCTGAAAACTCAAATATTTCGCGTTAAATATTAGGAAATATTATCGTGTGATATCAATATATTTTAATTGACAGACAAGTTGCTAAATAATGCAAGACGGTCAAATTAGTTTTCTTTTTTTTTTTTTGTTGTTGTTGTCACAGTTAAATCTAAGAACAGTAAATATAATCTTACAATAAAGAAAGTAATGTTCTCTACTTCAAATCTCTTTAAAACTGTAATGAAAATGAAAAGCGCCGAGTAAGAACTAGATGCCAACAGAAGATTCGGACAACTCAAATTCGCTTAGATTTCTCAAAATCCTTGTTCGAAATCGAAACCACAATACAAATTTTCCATACTAACTTGTAAGTGTACTTTGATTATCCAAAAGGCCGAAAAGCGATGAGCTTGAATATGCCGAAATTTCCCCTGCCAGGCAGCGACGAAGGTAGGGGATGACCCCACTTCATGGAAAGACGTGGGGTGGGGAGCAAGGTTTCCGCAGTTGCCGCTTTTGCACGGCTGCGCTGTTGCCACGTTCTCTCGGTGCGCTAAGCCTCGTAATATACTCGCACGTTTTCTTGAGCCCTTGTTTCCCTAGTAGCGATTAGAGTGGGGAGTTAGATATTTTGATAAAAATAATAAAAGATAAATATTTGTAGTTCATTTTTCGATGCAAAATAGATTCATTATTCGGGAGAAAACATTTCCAGTTATCAGATTTTGTCTACAACGCTAATTTCCTCATTTATTCATTTAACCAATGTAGGCAAAGGAGTGGGGGGTAGATATTCCGGGGCTTAAGAAAACGTCCGCGTATTTTAATAGTAGTTTCTCAAAAATGCACTCTCATTTTCTAATGGCGATTGATCGGTTTCGAAACGGAAATCTAAGAATTTGCACCATATTGTAAATTCAAAGAAAATGCTGTTATTAGTTTCTAGAGATTACCCAAAACATTTTTGAAGTCCCTTTTAAAGTCACTTTTTTATTAAGATTGTCAAGAATTGTGTTGTACAGAACGATTTCCTAAATCGTGTTCTGGCAGTGAAATTAATAATAATATTAATTATCATTATTATAATTATTATAAATTTCATAGAAAATTTGGCAAACATAGGTAGGATTAGTCTGTCGACTGTCAACTATGTGATTTAAGCATATTCTTGTTATGCGCCGAGTACTCCTCGTTTGAATTCACAAATAGAGTGCACATAGAGGGTTAAAATTATAATAACAGTAATCGTATTGCGCTCGTGAATCTCAGTCTCGTCTATCTTGTGACCTTCATCTTCAGTATTCACTATGGTCTAGAGTTACCCCTCTGTATCAACCAACGGGTTGATTCCATTAGAGAAAGTTAATACTGTTAATTTACTGCTCATTTCTTGCATTATTCCATTAGTTTTGTCTACATCGTTTATATAAGTTGTGTGTATTCCTCTCGATGATGTCACGAACATGTGTTAACACTCGAGCCTTATCACAATTCAAATTGTTTGCTTTCTATCGGTTCGCAACGCGCCAATCGACTCGTTGAACGAATTGAAGACGCGCAGTTCTCAACCAAGAAGTCTGAACTTTGCCACCAGCAAGTTCCGTCCGGAAAGAATGTGGAGCAGCGATTGGATGATTGTTCAGGCGCCAGTGCGTTGCAGAAGTGAGCCAAAGGATAAAATCCCTCGCGATGTGTTGTCATCCTCATTTACAGTGCATTTCCGAGAAGCAAGGCTATTGCGCAGTTGAGTTCAACATTTTAAACCGCATCCTGGAGATAGCGCCAGCAGGAAGTCCGAACGAAGATGGCGGATGAATTTTTGCGATGTGAATGCAATTTTAAAGATAAACAATATTAATTAGTTCTTCGGAAAGCCTAATATTTAAAAGATTCATGCATCAGGATATATTTTGGAGGAAGAGGTTTTTGAGAATTCGGGGGTAGAAAATGAGATAATCTTTTATCGCCTTCATCGTCTAATTTCAAGATGGCTCTGTGTAGTTGAGGTTGATAAAATTGTCTGTCCCAATACTGTGAAGTAAATGGACTGCATAATTTTACGTGTCTCAGATTATTGCTTGTAAGCTTGTCCCAAGTGTATATTTGTAGTATTTCTTGCCATTTCTTTCAAAATTTGTGGCGAATAACATTAGACGTAAATTAAACTATTTTTGGATAGGATTGCGCTGGTTTCGGTTGCCTAAAATGGCATACTACGTTAGCGTTTTACATATCAGCTCCTGTTACGTAAAAGCATTGCATTCAACTATGAGAAAGACGCATATAGTTAGTACTCGCATGCCTATATTTAGTCAGTGTCTCTAGATCTTGTTTATTGACTTCGAATTAAATTAATAATTTTCGGCACTAAATAAAACCGAAGACAAAACTTTGGGTTGGAAATTTTGTTTCAGGTTCCTGGTTCACGTAAAGTCGTCACGAAAACTAGTTTTCTATACAGAGCCTGTAGTCAAACGTTCCTTAAATTTACAATAAAACTACTTCAAAAGTTTTGCTTGTTCAGCCTCTATTATGTTTTCACAAATGTTATATTGAACGTCACGAACACCACATTAATCTCATTATAGATCGACCTCAATTCGTGACACAGATCCAAAAATATTTAGAACATCTTTTACTTGTCTACGTTCTTCTACCTCCATACAATAAATTTATATTTATCAATGTTACTAATTTCCAAACTTGCGCAGTAATTAAAGAAAACTACGAGTCCTCCGGCCGTGTGAAAGGAATCAGTGGATGCGTTAGATACACCAAAACTCGGGAAAATCCAAAGACTAATGAAACAGGTTGGATTTTAAAAGAAAAAAGACGAATATTTGGGTGTGATATCCTCCTATTGTGGGGCGCATTACCATCTGCATTCTCAAACTGCTCATGAAGGCTGGGATTATGTGACAGCAAGACTCCAAGGATGAGACTGTCCGCTATTAAATATTTGTTATTTACATGTTACGTTATGGATATTCGTTATTGTTCTTGAGCGGAGTACATGCGCTACTTTTTGAAAAACTATTTGCTGTCGTTTCATTCAACATTTTCGCTGCAGCAGTTGACACATATTGGCAAACATTTTAATTTAGAACTACCATCAGTTTTCTAATTGGGAAAAATCGGCTTGCAAAACAAAGAGAAGATTAACTTATTTTTTTATTCATGGATCACAGGAGTGCATCATGCTCTATTTGACAATCAATTTGCGTCGAGTTCTAATCAGATACTGATTTCTATCAGAAAAAATCTGTCTGGATCACAGAGGAGCGCGCTAGAATGTTGTAGACTGATTTGACTAATTTGAAAACTTCGATAAGGTACTGACTGAACTTGCGTGATATAGCACTCGGATTGCCGCTTCAGTAGAGTGCATAAGAAAATATATTTGCCCCCCCCCCTCTCTCCAAAAAAAGCGAAGTTTCATTTTGTAATCCTGAGCGGCCAGTAAGTTATTACATTTAATATGCATATTTCATGAAAATAATATTCAAACACTATTCTAAAGTATTATTCGGCCCGAAGTGAACATTTTTCTTCTGGAGGGGGAGAGAGAGGTCATAGACCAACATATTTAACGGATGTTGAAAAAAAATCTTCACGTCCAACACATTTCGTGACTCCATCTCGTGCGCGAATCGCATTCTGCGACGCCATCGCTTATGCAATTATCGCCTAACTGGGGCTGCGTCGCGATGACACGAGCGGCCAGCACGCTGCCTGTGCAAAGCAGCGGGCGCCCGCCGTCCCTGCCCGGCCTCGTCGTTCCGCGTTCTCCCAGGTCGGCGCGCTTCCTGCGAATCGGCTGGGCGCGCGCTGTTCGGTCGCTATTGATCGCCCACGCGCCTGCCGACGCCGACGCTCTGCGCATGCGCTGTCCGCCCCGCGCGCGCGCGTCGCCCGCCTGCCGCCAGGTACTCAGCCGGCGCGCCGGGTTGCTCTCGGGTTGAAGTGCCAGGGATGCTGTACTATGGCCTATACGTTTAGGTGGATCTGTTGACTGGTGCCGGGTGCTTACCAGGGTCGCGAGGTTGCTCTTGGGTTGAAGTGCCAGGAATGCTGTACTATGGCCTATACGTTTAGGTGGATCTGCTGACTGGTGTCGGGTGCTTACCAGGGCCGCGAGGTTGCTCTTGAATTGAAGTGCCAGGGATACTGTACTATGAGGTGGATCTGCTGACTGATGGCGGATGCTTACCAGAGCCGCGAGGTTGCTCTCGGATTGAAGTACTAGGGGTACTGTACTGTACTATGGCCAATAAGTTGAGGTGGATCTGCTGATTAGTACCAGATGTTTACCAGGGCTGCGAGGTTGGTCTCAGGTTAAAGTGCGAGTGACAAAAAAATCATCTACAACTAACAAGAACGATAGCGAAATTGGAATACATGCGTTTTGTATATAAAGAAGGGAAATTTTAGATGAACTGATTCCTGAAGATTTGAGTAGTGTGTGCAGTTAAGTAATAAACGTCAACATGGCTTCAGCTTACTAAATACCTGCTTGGGCCGTTTTTCACTAACTGCCTGTATGCAGCAAACGGGAATCTGTTGGCTGCAAACGAGTTTTTTTTTTTCCCTCGATGTTATACTAGCGACAATATATCTAGGAGGCTCAATGGCCTCTCCATTTTTCACTCTCGAACCGCCCGCCCTTTCCCCTTTTCTGCACCTAGTGTCACTCTTCTTTCTAAAGCATTTGGCAGTGAAATACGCGGTCGTTTTGCACTAAAGACGAAAGAAGGGAAGAAAGTCGCCTAAAAAATTATATCAACTACAGTTCAAAACTACCGTTAGAACGCCTCACGCTAAT